ACACCACCAAAACTGAAGTTATAAAATCACTAAAGAAAATGGGTAGGACGGCTGTAACGTGCTGTGTTGACATCGGTTGCCACTGGATCTTGTCACAAAGTTGTGTAGTTTGTGAGCTTACTTTTTCATAACTGCCCAATCATAAGTGTCCAGTAAATCAATTATTGGCATTATTATTTTTAGTAATTCACTACCAATCAAGACTGAACTAGAATTGATCAAGCAGTGAAAAACGTCTGAACACCAGAGCAAAATCTGAATCAACATGAACATACAGAAGAAAACCCATAAGCCATTAAACTACAGTGTAACAGATTCACTGACATTATATAACATTCTGTTATGCCATTTAACTGCTCATGAGCCAAGTAGTGAAACAATCAAATTAATCAAATATGTACTTATCACAAGTTTAGAGCCAATATCAGTCTAATGTATTGGTCACCAGCTTAACTGACAACTGGGTAACTGATAACTTGAAAGTTACAATGGCTGATAAACAATACATTAGGCTGATACACCACATCATTAATTCATAAGGTTTTGATTACTGTGCTTGCATGTTTAAATAGCTGCCAGATGTGGAATAAATGATTCATGAAACATTTGACAGCTTCAGAAAACTACAGTTCACTGACCACTGAGCTATACTGTTCTCAAATATGACGTGAATATTAATTTATATGAATCTCATTGAGGGAAGTTTTTTTTTCTACACTAATAACAACTAGAACATGAGGCAGAACAGAGAGAGAGAGCGAGAGCGAGAGAGCGAGAGCGAGAGCGAGAGAGAGAGAGAGAGAGAGACTAGAAATTACTCAACCAATTGTGTGAAATGTGAGTCAAAATATAATATTATGACCCTGGATAAAATCAGACAGAGAACAATGCACATAAACAGCTTTGATCTTGCATACAGACACAAATTAATTGTAAAAGGAGGAACTAGCATCAGAAGGTGCACAGTCAAGTCAAGCACATACTCAGTACCAAGTTAAACAGTTATTATCTCAATGTTTTAAAGACAAGGTTTTGGCTCCACCACTATAAATTTGGATCCCAAAGTTACCCTGCAGACCTCACAACACACACACAGCAAGCAGCTATGAGTCACTGAGCTGTTCTGACAGCCCCTCCCTCCCCATTCTCTCTCCTTGTGTCCTCATGTGGATCCCGAAAAAAGCTGACACTACCACACAGCTCAAAATAGCTCCCAACAGCGCAAAAATATGCCTCAGTCTGGCCCAGAGAGAGGGAAGAAGCAAAAAAGAGGATGAGGAGAGGTCATCAGCGGCACGTGAAGTCACGTTTCACTGCAGCCTGCGCAAATGGTCCAGCAGCCTGTCAGTCACAGTTTAGCTGTGGTGGATGGGTGGGCAGGGGAAGAAAGAGAGTGAGAGAAGACTGGACAGCAGCTGTCGGGGTTCATCTCTGCTTTGGTCAACACAACAAAGCTCCTATAGTGCTCACAGCAACATAGAAAGAAAGAGTCCAAAATAAAAAAATCTGCACTAAGATCACGTTCATCATTAAGAGAATAAGAAGAGTACAATTTCACATGTGCTGCACTGAAAAACAGCAGAGGTAGCCCTCCTGATCCTACTGTTGGCTGAATCCCCTTTGAAAGGTGTGAGTTTTAAAAAAATAAATAAATAAATAAAAAAGAAAGAGAGAGAGAGAGAGATGGGAGGATAAAGCACAGCTTAAGGGAATAGGAGTAGGCAGGTAAACCACAGAAAGAAACTCAGCATCAGCCTCTTCACGCTGAGTGTAAAACAATGTGTGTGTATGTCTGTTTGCAGGCATGTTTGGAAAAAGATAAAGGTGTGACTGACTAAACAGCATGTTAATTCTCTCTCCGGCTTTTTGATGTGGCTGCGTTACCATTTCACAATATGCAGGCACATTAGCATGCCTTTAGAGGGCTAACACTCTGTGTGTGTGTAAGGAGAGAAGAGAGAAATTGGACATAGTTAAAATGAAATGGGGGAAAAAAAAAAGACAGACAAATCTCAGAACAGCACACTGTTCTCAGTGATGATCCACTTAAAAATTAGGCACAAAGGCCATAAATTCCAAACTCGTATCAATTAAACTGACCTTTCCAGCTCCCACCCCATCAGGATATAACATACACTAGATCAGGACTGCTGTACAATTGTTCAAATTATTTAAATAAAATTCAATGCTTTTTTGTAAAACTTTAAGACCTTAACACACAACTAAAATATTTTATATCTATTTTAAGACTTGACAGATTTGCAGGAACCCTGTAGGTTACCGGCCAGATTTAATTTCCAACTTACGTGGGTCTCCTTTTAAAAGACAGTGATTCTATGACCTGCACCTACTTTTTAGCACAGCATCCAAAGCACCATCAACAATGATAACATATCTTCCTTATTTCACTCTCCCTCTCCATCCATCTCTATGACATAACAGAAGGCAGCAGGGCAAGTAATGCATGCTGTTGAAGCATCTGGCGCAGTCCTGCACTACAGCAGATCAGGGCTGCATGTTACTGTCGAGGGACCAGTAAAACGCTGCAGCATGTACATGGAATACACCCATTCAGTGCCTCAGCCAGCACACAGTTCTTACTGTAGTATGGTGTGGTCCACTGACACAGATTAAGCCTGGACTGCACTCTACTGCTGAAGTCCCAGAACCTCAGGACAGAGCTCACATGCGACTATGTAAGTGCTGATGTGGGATCAGACTGCATTGTCTATATAAATCATAGTAATACGTGGATCAAGTGTGCAATTAAGAACAAGAAAAAACAATCATAAAAATACAATATTCATTTCAGGCAGATATTCAAAAAATCTCACAAATACCTGCATCAAAAAGATTTCTGAGATAGAATTAAGTCTCAGAAATACTGCTCTCACATTTCTAACTTGCATCAGTGGGAAAACAAGGTAAAATTTCACCCTCATTTTGTAGCCGTCTCCTGCAAGAATGCCTTTAACATTCATTTTGGTACCCACGGCCCTCCCCTAAAAACCCACCATACTGGCTCACATTCCCTGTCACTGAAGCATGTGTGCATGTTCTAAAACACATTTCCAATCTTTGTTTTACAATCATGGCTCATCTGATTAATCCCAGTCTTAAAGCTATTGGGACCTATAGCCCTTCTGATCTAACTGCTTGTCAGAAGCCTGTACCCATAGATACAGAGCTACAGCATCACCATGCAGTTTATTTTTATCAGATCTGTATAAGACTATTCTTTATACTCGCTTTCAAACTCATCCCCTTATACCAAAAAGCAGAAATATGTTACAGCGTCTGAACATCAAACATACAGCACTGCCAGTCAGAGCAATAAACCCTTTATTTCAAGCCATAATTTGTTAGCAAAAAAAGAAGCCCTGTAGGCTAACTACACTACGGCATGTTAATGGGCTTAAATTGGCACTGCTAAAGAAAGCTCCTTTTCTAATTTGCTCACTTGAAACAGTTTTATGGAAGGGTTAGAGGTCAAGACCAAGGCAGCCAATTGCAGAAATTTCTGCTCATGCTGACACTTATCTTCATTTAAGAATGACCTCCTTTGTAATGCACAAATACAGGACAATGACACCTAGCCTCAAACATCGTACATTCAGGATTTGTGCATGCTAGAATAAAACTGTATCATACATGCTAAATAATAAAAACACGAGGGAACCATATGAAAGTGTGGCTCACATCCATGTAGCGCTTTCCGGTAAAACTTGCAAACTATAAGCAGTGGCTCAAAAATAAATAAATAAATAACTAAAAAACAACATGACACAAGAATTTTAAGCTTGCAGGGCTAAGTACTCATTATGAGCCATCTTGCTGATGCACTGCAACATTTACTTCACAGTGTCAGTCTTTACAATACTTGCATAATGTACAATCATTTCCTCAGTCTCTTGTTGAGAAAATCATATGTGGTGTTTGTGAGATGTAAAAAATAAAAGGGAATTTTCACTTATCCAGAGTTTGCTTCACAAGTATCAACAGACTTAACTACAATGCCTCTTAACATCAAACATGCATTACAGTAGAGGCTCAAGGATAAAGGCTAAATGGTTCTAAGTGATATCAATGCTAGTAGACATGTCTAAGGTGTCACAGTATAATATTTCTAGGTTTTGCACAATTGACAGGTAAGTACTATACTCACATCACTTCTCTAAAATAATGTCCTTGAAACATGTGTTCAGTTTAAATTCTATTTTTTGCACACACATGGTATTCAGGCCTGACCGTTAAATGCAATGTATATAATTTGATGGATGCTTCAGATTGTTTTGGGGAAAAAAACATAAACAGTGCAAAACATAGAAAATCAAAATAAACTGTAGGCTTCCTTTCCGGAAATCTGTTTTTCAAAACAGTGTGTCAGGATCCTTTCAGTGTAATTTTGTGAAAAGAAGGTATGTCATGCTTGACACTTTCAGCAAACTGGTAGCACTAAGTAGTAGCACTGGGGCTGAAAGGGTAGAAGCGGGGCAATTCCCAGTGCATGAACCATAAAAGAGGTCTGCCATGACCAAATCAAAGAGGTTAAATTTAAATAAATGAATGAATGTTGGTTTCAATCAACATGTGAAATACATAAATTGCTGTAATGTGTGCTTACAGCAGATGTCATAAGAAAGAAGTCAGATAAGTAGATATGGCTCTTGCTTGCACTGCTGCAGTGGTAGTATCAGGTAAAGGGGGACGGTGTGGGGTTGGGCTCCGCTGGTTCCCCCTGGTGTTCAGAAGAGAGCACTCAAGCTAAAGGAGACTGTACTCTGCAGACTCTTTGAAAGATGCATGAAGTGACGAGGAACGCCCTTTTAAAACGGAGGGGGCTCTCTACATCAGCACTTTGCAAAGGGTGTATCTGACAGCCTGCACCCAGTGGATTCAGTAATGGCCTTAGTGATAGAGAGCACCAAGGACACAAACACACACACACACACACACACAGACAGACAGACTGGGACAAGACAAACACACAAACTTCTTACCTCGCCCTCAATCCTTGGGGGCCGGATGCTGGACAGGTGGATAGTCTTGTATTCGCCAGAGTTCAACTTCACAACAATAGCATCTGCATTCACAACCTGCATTACCTGGAGAGAGAGAGAAAGAGAGAGAGAAAGAGAAAGAGAAGAGAGAGAGAGAGAGAGAGAGAGAGAGAGAGAGAGAGAGAGAGAGAGAGAGAGAGAGAGAGAGAGGTTAAGCGAGTCCCTGCTCCACTTGAAGGACATGGAACATAGCTTGTTGCCAGAGAAACAGCTTTGTACATCCAACATGAGCAGAGCCTGATGAAGCACACACACAAAAAAAGAGACAGCAGCAAATAAACACTTCACCCACTCTCTGCTGACAAACATCTCTACTTTTCTCCTTCTCTTCAGCCATCCGATCCTCTAATCTCGCAATTATACCACTATTACACTAACTGACAAAGAACAAGCAGTGAAATAATAAAAGGGGGGGGTAATTCATTTTGTTTGAGAAGCAGGCAACAAACAGCAGTTCAAATATACCGTTCAAACACGTTTCAGAGCACTGATCAGACATTTCAGTGTTCAAGTAAAAATGCAGGCAAAGATGGAAAGGGTGAGCATTCTTTTCTCGGACAGGAAAGGAAAGTTGGATAAAAGACACAGAGAGCAAGAAAAGAGCAAGTGAGAGTGAAAGACAGCAGTAAAACAGACTTGCAAAGGTTAAAGTCTGCCCTATTCAATAACAGTGATGGAACTGCTTTCTGCCATATGTTACTGCACACATACGTAAAGGGCAGTTGCTGTGGCTGACCATGTCAATGGGGAACACAACAGCATCCAAAGTCTGACATTGTTTTGTTGGTAGCACTACTGCTTCAGCACCTCAGAGATTACTACTTCAAATACAGCCATCTAATCTGTGTTAATTATGAATAGCTTCACACTCAGAGAGGAGCAGAACAGACATTTGGACAGGTGCAGGTAATAGATTAGACACAAAAGAGATTTCAACGGGCAAGGGAGTGTTATTTAAACACATCCGCCCGCACACACGCACACACACGCACACGCACACACACACACACACACACACACACACCTCACTCCAACTAAACGCAAGGAGACCAAATCTGTCTCCGCTGTGCGATGGGTAGAGGAGGCGAGGCAGTTACTGGCAGGATTATCATGGCACAGAGCACCAGATCATTCAGCTATTAGCTGAGCCATCAGCGTGGAAATGAAAACAGCCCACATACAAGAACAAGCACCCGCCTCAACACTCAGGAACTCTCCCTCTGACTCTCCATGGAGACAGCACAACACGGTCCTCACTCAGGGACAAACACACACACGCATTCACACACACACACACACACACACACACACACACACACACACATATATACCCTAAAAAAACCAAGGTCATATCTCTGTCTTTTTATCCCCCTTCTCCCTCTCTCTTTATCTCTCCCTCTCTCAAATCGAATGTGGAGATGAATGTGGATGTTGCTGTAAAATGGCTGGCCAGCACATTTGCTGGTTAATTAGCAGCTGCATATGCAGAGCACTTCACTGCAAGCTGCCAACAGGGACATCCAGCCCAGCTCCGTGACTCACTCTGCCTCTGCAGATCACGGCCTGGCAGGAAGATACTGCCACCCACAGGATAATGCCTGAGCTACGCCTTTCCAGAGTCAGAGTGCAGCTGCTTTTACTATAGCATCTCCAGCATGTATTGGCTATAGGGTTGGCACGATCAAAACCAAACAACACAGCCTAAAACACTGTGTGGGCTTTGGTTGTGCTTTGAAAACAGGCAAATATATATACACATTTAAAAAAAAATAAAAAGAAAAAGGGTTTCATTCATCCTTTGTTACATCAGCAGACCACAGTGGCATGAAGTACATCTTTTCCTCTTCAGTGTCACATGAAGAGCTCAGTGTGAACAGATGATAGCCGATGCTGATATAAATGATTTATTCTTGCTGGAATCAGGTAAAATGGGGGAAAATAACCTTTTTGTGAGTGGCTTTTGAAACTCGTTTTGTAAGCAGATTGCAAAGTGATACTTTTATATAACCAAAGATAAATATTTTAGTGGTTCAGTGCAGATGTGAACGTAAAAAAAAATGTTAAATAAATAAACAAATAAATAAATACATAAATAAATAACTAAATAAGTAAGTAAGTAAACATTTCAACATTGAGGAAAATTTGCAAGCTCTCAAAAATACTTGGGTCACCGACCCAGCGAAATCAATGGTTTGAAAGTATGTTTGATGTGATCACATTCTGTGTTATCGACGTCTTGGCTGTTTCATGAAACTTTAGCAACCGTTGCAGCTGAATTTCAAATTAGTTAAATGATGCTTTGCATTATGCAATTCAAGCACAACATGGTTTCACGTAGGTTTCAACCAAATAAAGTTGCAGGAAAGTTTCACCATGTAAAGCCAGCCTCAGTAGCATAAAGATTCAAATCAAGTACCATTAAAACTTTTCAGAGGAAAGCTTGCAGCTTCATGTTATCTCTCAGCTCTCCGCTATGTCAAATTAGTGGCTGCCATTGCTGTTCTGGCATGCCCAATGAGCTCCAGGACTAATGTGGCACTCCTCGCCTCGCACGCTTGGGCCCAGAGCGGAGCAGGGGGCCTATCAGCAGTAATTTAACAGAAGAGTGCTGGGGCCCCGTTCAGTGGAGACACAAGGCTGGCTGCACTAGAATAGGCACAACCAAATGGAACACCTGAGGCCAGCGAGGACTGCTTTAGAGTCAGCTGAGCCAACAGTCTACACAGCACTACTGGACTATCACATTGTCAGCGCAGTGTAAGGAAGCAGCCATGGTAGAGAGTTTGGTCAAGAGAAAATAAAGGCGGAAAAGGTCAGCTGTTAAAAAGTGTGAGACAGAGCTAGAAATGTCAGCTTTAGCTGTCATAAATAGGTGTTGCTAAAAAAGCTTATCCTCTCCTTCTTTATGCATTAAAATGAAAGAAAACCAAATTTAGAAGTCAAGAGCTTGGCTGAGGGATCTTGGTTTGAGATTCCCAGGTTTCAGTCAGTTCTAATTCTGAAGCCCTGATTCCTCCCAGTTATTTCCAGCTACAGCTATGCCATGAATTTGTTTGATACTCTAGACTCTTTGGTGACACTTGCTAGCAAATCACTCCACTGAGGTTTTAGTTAAGACTTTCCACAACTAGCACACTCTTTGACTTACAGAAGCAGTTCAACATCATTAATATGCATATTTGCCAAAACTGGCCATGGTTTTAGGTTGCTCCAAGACCATGCAGTTATTAAAATACATTTTGTGGCTTATTAAAATATAACTTTACTGTCAGTGCCAGTGCAGACAAAATAAGAATCAGACAAATCATGACTATGAAAAAAAACAAATAAAGTTCAAAGTTGAGTGGAAGAATTCATTTCTGGCTGGTGTGATGTTCTATCAAGCACATCAGTTTCCATGTCAGGTGGATACCACAAGTTCATTCTTTGCTGGGAGTTTTTGTACTGAGGCCTTCTTGTTAATAGTGAATACGACATTTTAATACAATATCTGGGTACCAATGTGTAAGACCTAGACTATGGGTCACCAATCTTATCCACAAAGGCCAGTGTGACTGCAGGTTTTCATTCCAACCAAGCTTATACAAACTAGGCCTGGGCTATAGGACAATGTAATCAGTGACTGACTAGTAACCCAATAACTATGCTTAAAAGGTGACAATTACTGTGTTGAGAAACTGACAGAGAACTAGACAGGACTAATATACAGTGAAATAGCTTGCTAAATATGTTGGGAAATTTGGGTTCACGTTCCTTTAAAAAGTATACAGAAACACCCCAAATGTCAGTATTTTTTTTTCTGTTTACGAGAGAAAGAGCAGTTTCTGAGGCTACAAGCATTACCTACCCCATGGCTCTTTCTCTTCTACTTAATTTACATTAGGTTTATCTTGAGTGCATGGAACTGAAAATAATGCAGACGTGCTCTGGAAGTTCAACTTGCTTCAGTGTGACTCTCTGCAGTAAAAACAAGATAATGAGTCTGAGTATTACCCTACAGCGGCTACCTATAGCCCTGGAACTTTTAGAAGCAGAGAAAGGTCTTGCAATATGCAACTAAGGCCAGGAAAGAGGATCAGAAAATTATAACAAATAAGGTTAATATATGTACACAATGTTTTATTTACCTACTATTAGAACGCTGGACTATTAAAAAGCAATTAGGGTACAGTAGAGTAAATTACCTTCTGTCTCTGCTGTAGGGTTCAAAGAGTGTGAAAAAATTTGCATAATTTTTCATACAGCATAAGTCTCCTGGTCATTAATAAAATTTAAATGATCAAATATAATACTACATGGCTTTCCAAAAGCATCTATAACTGAATTTCAGAGTTACAACAGAAAACACCTTGTTTTAATACGTACTGTGTGAGCACAGCTTTGAAAATTGCTAGCAGTCTGGAGTTTCTCTAACAGGGAGCATGATTAGCATGCAAGTCGACACAAACCTACACCAAAAGGAGTTCATGAATGCCGTGTCTATTAGAATGACAGGTGTAGTTTTTAAAAAGATGGTGGGTTACTCTGTAAAATATTACTAAACATGTGAGTAGAGATTTTCATTAAAAAAATAAATAAATAAATAAAAGAACAAATTAAAATTGAATAGGAAAGGGGGGGGGGTGCCACAATCTTTTTTTAACTAGAACATAGCATGCTAAATATCGCTAGATATCGCTCAGGTCTGATATACATCTCATACAACTAATACTGCACATAACTAACATAACATTGGTGACCCCTGGCCTAGCTTACAGCCAACTGTTGAACTGCTTCTACAAATAGAAGAGCATTACTGATGTAAGAGGGCCAGAAGGGTTGGCATTCAATTCACCAAAATGAAATGACAAATGTTTTTCACTGTAGTTTTTAAAATAATTCCAGCTAACTTACTGAGCTGACGTTAAGGCAGCATAGGTGAGTTAAAGTGTTGTTACATTCATTATGAACAAAGAGCCAACTTTATCAACTCACCTTTGCTACAAACTGTCTGTCCTTCTGATCCAGGTTGGCGGTGGGAGCAACATAGTCTTTCCAGATCCTCACTTTACGCTCTTTAGCGGAGCTGCAGAACAAAGAGATCCAACTATAAAACTTTCCTCTGGGGCACTGTGAAAATGAAAGAACTACTCCATACAGAAATGATAGCAGACTCGAGATACTCAAGTTAAAGACTTTATCTACCACTAATCTCATGTGGCCAGCTGTATACTTTGATGTCCTAACGGTTTTGATTGGTTATGATTGACATGGACTGACCGTTCTGCTGCCCGCAGTTTCTCTGCCCCCTGGGTGTACACTGCCATAGACCAGTCGACGCAGCGTGCAAAGCCCTCCTTTAGCAACAGCTCTGTGATGTTCCCATTCTATGCAAAAACATACAAGTAATTACAACAGTCAAACACCAACATAGCAAATGAGCAATTGCCATTGTAACAGCAACAAAGGTAGTTTATTAGGTCCTCTTCTGACCCACATGCATAATTAGAAACCAAGCATTTAAAGGCTGCAGCATAGACAGAGAACATCTGGATAAGATAAATGCACATACAAGACAAGAAAAATAAAAAGGGCTGGAAAAATGAAAGTGTGCCAGGATGCAAGCTGAATAAAAGAGTGAGCAAATATGGGGGAGCTGATAAAGAGAAGGTGAGCTTTATGAGGTCTGTCCCTGGAGCACTAGGCTTCGTAACCAGCAGCTGCTTCCAACAGGGTCAACCACGGTCTTTCAGTGGCCAAATGAGGCAAATGAGGTGCAAGCGCTTAGCCCTGAGACCCACACAGGGACCCACTGTTAGCCCTAACAGCACATTTCCCTTTTATACCATGGCCGCCGCCAGTTTCAATAACATGAGGGTAAAGTGAGACAGGCCAGGCTGAAAAGAAGCTGTAAAATGCACTGTGTACGGTACTGGCCACTGCTTACAGCACAGAAATTAGATAAAGATTGGCCCTTTGAAAGGACTAAAGAAGAGAGAGAATGGGCAGATGATCTAAAGCACTGGAGTTGGCTGAAATGCCCTCTCTCAATTTTCCTTTCAACTGCTGTAAGAAAGAAGCCAAGTGTTTCTCTTCAACTCTAAACCGACTGACCCTAGTGACTCAATGATGGGATAGGCTCCTCCTGGTTTCTCTCAAGTTTGCTTCCTTATACTATTTTGGAAGTTCACCTTACTGCATGTACCCTGCATAAGCTAATCAATGTTAACAATTGGTCAAGTGTAGGTGGTGATCATACCGGGTGGAGGATAGTGCCCAAGATGATCTGGTTAGGGCAAGACTCCAGAATAATCTGCACATCCCTCTGAAGCAGCCGTGATTCCGTGAAGAATTTTGCCTCAGCTGCAAACGGCTCAGGGGTCTCTGTTCCATCAGCTTCCCGTTTAAATGTTGGGCACTGAGGAAGATGATTGTACACTCAGAAACTCAAAAACATACATAAACTTGTTACCTCTTAGTTTATACATGCAATGAAACGGTATACGTATTCTGCTGAAAAGGTATAAACGGTAGGGTGACCATATTTTGGTTCTCAAAGAAGAGGACACTGGGGGTAGGAGGGCATCATGGGACAAAGTAGAAAACAAATGTCAAAATGAAAGTAAAGGCATGTCCCATTTTAGGCAATTTAGAAATCTTGGCCAAGCACACTTTTCCAAATAGAGGACATGTGGTGGAAAAAGATGTATGGTCACCCTAATGTTAGGATTTTGACAGAACAGAGTCTTTTTGCTGGCACACAACACTACACAAAAACAATGCACAGATGCACAGAATACTCGAAGCAAACCATTGCTGTGAAGGTCTCACCTTAACTCCAGACAGCATCACTGTGACAAGGTAGTAGTCCGGTAGCAGAAGTGCTCGCACAACACTGCCATCTCGAACATGTTCGATAATAGCTGAGGGTGTGCAGGAGAAATCGGAGAGAGAGAGCACGAGAGAGAGAGGCAGAACATGAAGTCATTAAGATGTAACACCATTTTAGAAATTGGGAGAAAATAAAGAGGAAAAAAATAAAATAAATAAAGAACTGCTTCTATTACCCCATATCATCTTGAACATTAGGCTGAACATTAATAGCAGCCTTGTGGCAACTGCAAACATAACCTGAACTTCTCGTTTTCTCAGTCTTGAAGGGCAGACTACCTTCTGTATTTACAAAACAGGCCACCAGGAAAAACAGAGTACCTTAAGTTGTACACCCTATAAATCACTATTCTCATTCTGTAGTGCAGCCACACAGCTGAATACATTCCCTGAACAGAACACAACCAATTCTTTCAAGCCATTCACTCTCATTTGCAGCATGTCATCTGGCTGTGCGGCAGAGGTCAACTCTGAACAGCATCTGAGTCACTATTCAATTTAACTGAGAGAAATAAGCTCTCTCTCATCTGGATGAGGGAACGCTATAGGGGAAAAGTGTTGCTAGGAATGACACAGTGGTGGAGTGTGATAAGGGCCAGGAAGCCATTAGGAGTCTGAAATATGAAATATAAAAAGCCTCCTTTTAAGGTGAGTTTTTGCAGCATGTATACACATTATTTAACCCTAATCGTGTGTCATAAGCTACTACCAAGAGTCATATAGATTATGCAGCCTAGGCCTCACCGTTAACTGGCTTCTGGTGCAACGAGTCCACAAAGTTCCGAGGGTTCTCGATGCTGTACTTCAAGTCACGAATTGTGTGTGCCCCTCCACCTTCAGACCAAATCCCTTTCTTAGCAGCCTTTGCTTGGTCTTCCAAATCACAAAGTCTGGCCTGCTCAGGACTGAAACACACACACACACACACACACACACACACACACACACAGGAGTCAGATATATCTTTTCTTTGCGTATTTCACTTTTCTTTGCCACATTTTTAGAGCAAACTTTTAAATTACACAGAGCTACTGATTAACCTGTGTATACAGTAAAACTTTACTGTCATATCAAAGTGTATTTAAAAACTGACAGCATGATAGAGTAAAACATTCTCTGACATTTCAGATCAATTGCCTGCAGTCTGTATCAGAGGATTCTTAACTGGCTTTGGTGTGTTCGGAGTGCTTGGGCCCAGATTGTGAGGCGGCCCACAAAGATCAGACCCCTTTGAGGACCCAGCAGCTTTTGATAACCCCTTCAAATGCATTAGTTCATTATTAAACCCTAACACATGTTTCAATTAAGTTCATTGTTGTTCAAAAACCCAGCATTATCTTGAAGGGGAATTAAAATGTCTGACCACGACAGACGGTCGTCTGAAGATTTTTAATAAGTCCCTATCAGTTTAAGTCTCGCAGGCCCAACTAACACAGAGTCTAGAGGGGAGAGAGAGAGAGAGAGAGAGAGAGAGAGAGAAAAAACAAGGTTAAGAAAATGGAAAGTTAACTTGTTTCCAAAACAATAATAATTAAAAAAAAAAAAAATCAAAGAAGGGATAGAGGAAGAAAAAAGAAAGACACCAAAGTCTATAAATCACCAAAGTCCTATTCGCTTTTGATCGGACTACCAGATCAATGAGCATAAAGAGAAGTGATAGTGAGACAGGAATCAACAATGAGCTATCTGATACAGAGAGGATCCCTCTCTAAATCAATCACTCAAGTTCAAGAGGACTAACTCAGCTTTGGAGCGTCTGGTCTCTAAAGACCCCAAAAGGCCTGATACAAAGGAATGCTCCAACACGGCATGATGCAAAGTTACTTTGATTCAAACATCCCACTCTACAGCAGCAAATTTCTGGCCGCCTACTGCTTATTACATAACCCAAGGAGCAGGCCTTCACTTATGCAGCCCATCTTAAAGTTTGCTGCCAAATCTCACCTTCCAGCTGAAGGAGAGAGAGCGGAGCGTACAAGGTGGCCCCATATCCGAAATTTTGCAAAGGACAGTTAGACTGATATTTAGCTGACAACCATTCAGGTAGGACAGGAGGACAGAAAAGGGCACGCATAAATTAGTATGTGAAGGCGATGCAAATGTTAAATTAATATGAAGATGTATCATGTAAAAAGTTCCAAAACAAGCCTTGGCTTCATATAAATGTATCCCAGTGCTGTGTTTACGTTGGGCATTACTGGTTACATGTAGTAATCAGTGAGTTGGTACTAAAGCAGTTTATCTCAAGCGTAAATCTCTTGATCGCAACACCACTGACACCTTCCATTACAATCTCCATTACTGCCATTACAACCTTTACATTTCAAATGTCATACAGGTAATTACAGCTTCATGCCTATTACACTTTATTGTGGCTTGTCATGCATGACGACAGAGGCACCCCTGCAACATATTAGTGCCATGATATTAACACTCAAATGACATTTCAAATGTTCACAGCCATGTCCAGTTCAAGTGCAGAAGTGTGATATGAAAAAACTTGGGAACACAAAGAATAAACTAAATGAGGATTGCTATCCAGATGTACATTATAACAGCATAACTACCATTATCCATTCCTCAACACAAAAATGTAAGGCTCAGTTAACCTAGGGGTTGGCAATACAGCAAAAATATGAAAATAATTCACCAGATTTTCACAATATACAAAACTATAAATCAAAAACAACAATCATTTTTATTCAGTGTTTTACACACTGCACTAAATTTAGTTCATTTGGACTAAATATGATCTCTTTTTAATGAAATGGCTTTTTTAAGTACTGATAATAACAACATGCTCAAATACCAGTGGGCAGTATGGCCACACATCTATATAAACATGCCTGAATGTAACGGCTACACTATTTAAGTTGAACAGGCGATTTAAGTTATAGACAACTTTGGATCTGTCGAATTTCTCAAGTTATCTCTCTCACGCGTGCATCCTGTATACTCGTTCATCCGTCAGAAATGTTTCGGTTTGAAAACATTGGAAAATATGACAGTCAGTCATTCACGCTTCAGTACCAGCTGGTCTACAGGTTGTTTCGCACACAAAACCCCAACCAGCTATTCCTTTAGCTATGCTGATGTAAGAACAACATGGACTACATCTAACGAAATTGACTAGACAGCAGGAGGTGACTACAGGGACAGCTGCATTTTCATTTGCGTTTGAAAAGTGATTAACATCCATGACTGTAATGTTAGACTAATGTTAGCGTGATTTCAACTGTTCGTATGTTGCATAATCGACGCTTTAGTGGTACCGGTATCATGCTTCTGACAAAACTCTTACCAGAGGAATAATTTAAGCTGTATACCGCTCACTACTATGCTCGAAAGCATGGTGTTACATATTACAAAAATTTCCCACCCCTTTAATTGACCTGCTATTTCTTTCTACTGTTCTTTGGAAAATTAAGAGATCGTTTTAATAAGCAGCATCTATCTACATATGTAATTACCTGTTAACTGTGGCCATTCTGCACTGCAGTGTTAGTGCATGACTCAGTTTGCTTTTACACCCCCTCTTAGACTTAGTCACACTGCAGCATCCATAAACATAAGTGTAAGGGCTGAGTGTGCTAAACAGTATGTTCTACTTACATATCATTTAATCAAGATAATACTACAGTGTTAAGAGATTCTTGTGTTGCACGGCAAAGATAAACAGCTGCATCAACTGGACAAGTATACATGCAATGGAAGCAACCCTCCTACTGGTGGAATAGAAAGGTACGTGGCTCAGACAGAAGTCAGTCTTTTTTTTTTTTATGCTTTCTTTCTTTGAGCACAACCATTCAGACACTGTAACACACACACACACACACACACACAATTCTTACTTGGTGCCTCTGATGCCCTCTCTGCGGACTGTGGCAAGTCCCTCTGCAACCAGCGACTCAGCAATGTTTTCTCCTGATGCTTCTGAGGAGAGAAACAACAAAAAAGGACATTGCTATAACTGATAAAACCAAAATGAACAATATATGCCTACTTCTTTCATATAATATGAAAGAAGTCTGACACACTTTTGAACTCGACCTAGCACACTTGAGGAGTAAATATAACACGCTGCACAAACAAATCAGATCAATGATGCATAACAAATGCACCTTAACACGGTAATGTAGAACCAGCTCTTGCCTTTTGTCACCTAATTAATATGATTTTATGGGTCTGATGATCCTAAGTTAGCACTATGTTTAATTCTGAGTTCATGATGGCTTAAGATCTGCTCTAAAGCAATACTCCGTATGCCCTTTCACACATACAAGGACTTCAATGGCAGTTAAAACATCACGTAAAAACAAAAAAACTTACCCTTTCCCAGGTATACCATGCCATACTCCCTTCCCTGCTGGGTTTTGATCTCTACAGTGAAGCACACCTCTTTCCCAATCAGCTTTTTGCGTAGGAACTCACGAGCCTGAAAAGCCCAGGGCTGTAGAACACACATACACAGGGAACTCAGTCATTATTCGTAACCCAGTAATGTATTAATTTGCACTGCTGTCGGTTAAAAGCTCCAAAGCATGGAGATTTACAATCTGAGTATGTATTTCATGTGCCTTTCCAACAGCTTAACAAAACGTTGACAGAAACTGGATTTAATATCTCTGCTGAAACCCACCTCATCGGGTGTGTCCTTGGTTTCAGGCTGGTTCTGGGTAGCTCTGCGTGCAAGGGCACCAGCACGGACATTGCTGAGGTTGATCTGTCGCTCTGGAGGAGGGCCGCCTCGCGGTTGGCCTCTTACAATGATTGCACATCCAGACAGGACCTAAAAGAAATCCAGAAGAAAGGATTTTACCATGACTTCTGCTTATTAAAGACTTGACCATTAAAGCACATAAAAACACTATCTATGCATTTCAGCCTTATCTTGGTAACCTTGTGTGCAGGAGTACCAAATCTCTGAGAATGAAGATAAAACTGAATGGAAGTTTAACAAAACAATGAACACACTAAAAAGATCTTAAAGATATGAAGCCTGAAAATGCTCCTCTCAGTTTCAAAAAAGTGGCAAGTCAACAGAGACAAAGCATGGATAAAATCATTGCAAATGTTATTTAGACAAATATTGCATGTATTCGGAGAACTCGTTTGCGTTCCAGGGTTTAACTTATGGGTCAGGCCTCCTTGAAGAAATGCAGTCAAGGTAGTATGACTTTCCCTTTGTATTTAGTGTAGACAAGAATCCATTCACCAAAATATATATCAGAGGTGACACAATGGTGTTACTATTAACCACAGACGAGTAAAGCATAGCATTTGAGGCGCAGCCCAAGGGAAGAAGTCAGTCTTCTAGAGAAGTTTCTCTGAAAAAGTTTTAATTCAGCTGGGAAAACCCTCGTCTTAAAATTACCAGTGTTCGGAAGGAGAGCCTAAAGTTTTTTTAGGATTTTTTTTTTGGAAAAGTTATCCAAATATCCTCCAATTTCACAACGCTCAAATCAATCAAATCGTGTCTGCAGCTGGAGAACACGAAAGCGTGTGTCTATGTTTATCAAGCCACAAAAACACTATAACCTAAAAGTTCTGCGAATTTAAAAACGTTGTGTTTTGAAAATAATGCCTGTTTGCGCTTTTTAAAATCACTTATTTCATTTTCTTCATTTATCCCACATTTTAGAGCAGAGCTCCCTGCTGTTAGCTAGCTAACTTAGCTCAGAGGAACCGTCGGGCCAAAGATCTGCCGCTAACAGCTACGTGTCAGTTTCTCGGAGCAGCTTAAGATCAACATCTGGCAAAGTAAACATGCAACAATAAAACGTCCTATGTATGCACGGAACTCCAGCTCAACGATAAATCACCGTTCAGCGGATAGAGTGGTCCTGCACTTAACCTAAACATGGAAACAGAACCGAACCCCAGCCTAAACTGATACATATGAAGTTACAGTGTATCGCCGTTAGCTCACTAAGCTAGCTAACTGTCTTTGGTCAAACTCTAACGGTCCCTCGTTCGAACACACAGCGCGAGCCGAGATTCAAATTTCTTCCAACCGTTTTTCTGAACTAATCCAGTTGCGTGCTAAACTGAGTACAGCCAGGGCCAACTAAACAAGGCTGCATTCAACGTTACACGTTAACCACTGTATTAAAGTTACACTTAATTAGCCTGTTAGCTTACACCAAGACAGCCTGGAGTGCTGCTGGCAGTGAAACATGAAGCAGCTGGTACCGCTCAGGACCCAAGTTTGAGATTAAATCAGAACTTCGGGGAGACACTGAGTTAAAAGCCAAAACACACTCAGTGCTGAAAAGCAGTGTGGGTAATGTATTTTTAGAGAGGTTGGTTCGTTTACCAACAACTTAAAAACTACTGAGGCAAGACAGCTGCGCTTTCTAATTAGCCACGCAGCTAACAGCTCTGTAACTTCTCTAAACTCGTGTTTACGGCTCGGACAGGCAGGAGACGTGTGAGCGCTGCGAACAGCTGCCGACTGAATAGAAGGAAAAGTGTGTGAGGCTGCTAAGCTGAAACGTGGCTCGCCATAAAGAAACTTGAGAGGTGCTGCGGGCGGGCGCTGCTCCGCTCCGCTCTGTGTCCTACCATCTTCACTATTCCTCTCTGCAGCGCCGAAGCCGCAGCCGGGCTGGACTGAACCGGGCCAGATACGGGAGTCGCCATGTCCGCTGGGCTGAAGAAGTCCGTTCAGGGGGTAATTAAGCAGGCGTGGACGCGAGGGTCTGCTGAAAGTGTTTTAGTAAAAAGAGAGAGAAAGAGGCTGAACACGGCGGATCACGCTCGCTTAACCGGAACCATGCGAGGGGTGTACGCGTCAAAGAGAATCGCTTCCTGAGTGAAAGCGGCCAAACCGTAGAGCGAATAGAGCGCTTTCACAGTGACGTAGACTGGACGAAGCAGACACATCCGGGTCATGGGACGGTGCGACACGTCAGCACAGATTTAAAAGTCGAAAGTGTCTTAGCGCAGCAGGAGAGGATGATGTAGTGATGTGGGGGTGTAACGAAAAGCTGGGAACTGTTTCATTAAATTAGCCAGAAAACCTAAGCCAAAAGTCATGAATGCCCTATACAAAGGATGGCGAGGCATCTATCCATTGGAAAGAGATGACTTCTAGATTTATCTAGAAAGATGAATTTCACCGATTTTTCTAATTTTTTGCGTAATTCCGTCGTTGCGATGTAAACAGTCATTCAGAGGGGTTTGATGTGAAATTGTCCATTGTAGAGAAACGTATTGACTTAGATTACTTTACAGTGTCAGTGATATAGCCGTTTTGTTTAATATCCAAAACCACTAGTGAACCTACACGTGTCTTCTGAGTTGTTAAATGCGATATTTATGATAGTAAAATAGTGGAAAATCTGAAAAAATAAGTTTTTGGGGGCTATTTTACTTTACAATGCCCTGCATGTACTCCTTCACCATTGACGGATTAAAATAAATTAACAACACATTTTAGGCCAAAACTTTATCACAAAACTACTGTAAAACAATGTCTCAGACATCAGGCAATGTATTCATAACCATTTTGTGTAATAACTTTTTGAAGCCTTTAGAGGCATTGAACTCTTCAGACGTCTGGTTCTTATCACCGCCACTGTGAACAATTCTGACTTGGTACGTTTCTCTAGAACAGAGCATTTCACACCAAACCGCTCTGAATGACTTTGTTCACATCTTAACCATTTAATTATGTATACATTCAAAAGAAAATGGAGTTCCCTTTTTTGTTATCTTGCTATAAATTAGTAATCCAAGTTCTAGTTAATCTGACCTCGAGCTGACGCTGAAGAAATTGAATCTCTGATTAGTTCAGCCTATGAACCTAAAGCCAATTAGTGTCAGTGTATTCCCTTGATCTGAGCAAGAGATACATTTATCAGTCAGATAAAGTTCAAGACTGGCCTTTAGATGTGTATACTATAAGACAGTCCTGACGTTTGGCTTGGTCATCACTGTAATCTCATCTATGCCCATACAATGTGGGTTAATCAGTTCGTGACATTTAAGCCCCAAAGGAGTCACAGAACCCTGCATTTCCTCAGAAATTACAGCTACCAGACTCTGCGCATGACAGGGCTGGCATTTTGCACAGAATTATATATTAGTATATACATTCGAAATTTATAAAAGTGCGGTTAACTGTTTTTTTAAGAGAATGTATTTTGCAGTGCCGTCTACGTGTATTAAGATACAGCAAAACCTGACTTCACAGCTCCAGAAGGCACTCTATTGGCCAGTTTTAGAGACACAGATTAAGCATAAGACTTGACTAAACAGCATTTTTAATGAAGAAACATCATTGGCATTGCAGTTCAGACCAAGATTTCCAAGAAACCAGCCCTATAGAAATGTGTGAGTCACGTTCAGATTCCCAATCTGATCAGTCGTTATCATTACTATCCACCAGATGGCGCCATTTGTACACAAACTTTGGACAAAACCGAGTTTTCATACAAGAATCACATTTCATCCTTCTATCTTATCACGTTTCAGGTAAACTGGTGATGCATTTCTGATTTGATTTTCTTAACTTTCTATTACTTTACCGTCAGAAAATAGCTACTGTCTAGGTAAATTTTAGTCCCCCAAAGTATAAACAATGTAAATGTACCACCAAAGATGCATCATGGTCTTTCAGGTCCAACTGTGTGTCATAAATGAGTTTTAAAAGTACACCAGATTTTTAAAGTAGGAAAAATAAATAAATAAAAAGCGTGGACTCAAGACAGTGTGTGCGGAATCAAAGCAACTTAAATATTTAACTGCAATGTACTATTATGTTTCTACTGTAATATGGTACAGGTATGTTCTCTAATTAAAAGTACTGGAGAGGTACTCTTGAGGGTGCCATCTCAGTGACATGATCTGAAAAATACAGTTGTTTAGTTTAGTTTTGTTCAGTTTTGTTTGCGGCTATGCATTTGGAAAACCGTGACAGTGGAAAACTTTGGGAACACCAGGACGTTATTGTGCGCTCCAAACATGAACGCCAGTCAGATTTGAGCGCATGCTCAGGGTCCTATCACTGAACGTTGACACCCCAGACAAATGGCATTTTGTTGATTTTCTAAGTGAAAATCAGTTTACACCTCCCCTACACGATTGTGTTTTCCTGCACATTACACGTTGGTGCACAATTTCTATTTTTTTTTGCTGAGTTTAACATAAAAAAAAACAAAACATAACATATGAAATGTGCCATAACTTTTGCACAGGCCACGTTTGTGTTTTTCCCAATATATTACATTCAGCAAATAAACAGTAATTGTGTGTTAAAATATATAACTGTTCTCTGTAGAGGATGTGCAACTTATTGTCACTTAGAAAATCATCTAAACATGTCGTTTGACCAGGGGCGCACAAACTTTTGCACATGACTGTGCATTAACACGACCCAATCAGAAGGCCCGTCTCACCAAGTCAGCCAGCATCCCGCGACTAACACTCCCACTGAACTCTACGTTTTAGGGTTTTTAAGAAGCCAGTGTTAGTACAGAGTGGCCCGGTGGACGCAGACTGACTCATCTACACCAAATGTCACGGCATTAAAGTAGTTTCATAACAAAGTGCTCGGCGATCTCTGAGTCTTCTAAAGAGAAAAGCCGTTGCTTATAGCTGATGCGTCTCCGCGCGTTTGGAGAGAAGGTCTAACTGCGCTCTCAGCTCCGGATTATGATGTTAGTGGTCGGCAAGCTAAGTATAGCTACATTTTCTTGTGTTAGGCTACATGGAAGACAGGGTGTGCGTAACTCTTTTAGAGACCCTAAAACACTATGGCTGAATCTCAAATGGCTCCCTGCTCGCTACATAGTGCACTGCATAGGTCAGGAAACTGGATTCTGCGCACAAATAGTGCCCTAAATGTTAGATAAGGAGTCGTGCAGCTTATGGCTGAACATAAATGGCTTTCTATTCGCCATATAATGTACCAATTGGGTGCAGACGCCATTATTTTATGACCTACATAGTGCACTACATAGGGAGCCGTTTGAAATCTAGCCTGTGAAACGCTGCGTCTGTGGTCGAGCGCTGGCTGGTAGACGGAGAGTCTGGCTGTGTGAAAGAACGGCTAATCAGTATCATTCACACCCGCGCAAGTTTAACGGCAGCCCACAGTACCAAAAGTGGTACCATAAACACAAATTGTTTCTCTGTTTAAGACTTTTAAAGAGTAATGTCCTAGAAGTTAAGTCCACCGTTTCCTCCCGCACTCATGAGAGCCGAAAGTGCGGCAGCGGTTCCAAAACAGAGGTGCAGGGAGCTGAACGTGCTGGGTCTAAACTTGCGGCGCTGCAGTTGGACACTAGTGTGGGGGCGTTTGGAGAGCTTTTTACGCGAGTATAATGCGACTCTATAATCCCTCCGACCAAGACCACCAGGCTGAAAAATGAACTCCTCAGGCACCATAAAACATTTCTGCTGCGTTACATCTCCGACCAAAACTGGCATCTTTATTCACGCCAGTCTGGCACGACGAGTGCCCAACGCCCCAAAGCAGCTTTGCGCACCGACGAGGCTTCACAAGCCTTTTATTCCTGCGGACTGCAAACGGTTTAACAAACTCGGTTTACGATGATAAAATCTCCAACAAAGCATGTCACATACTGTTTCTTATTTCTGTGGAAGCCAGCTGAAGGAATATAGCTATAAATACTCAGTCTTTCCTTCTCGTTGGCAAGGAGATGCTGGCGTTCAGAACAGCCGCCCCCTCTGCTGAACACAAAGAGTGCACGCTCAGAAATATGACTGTGCTGTAAGCAGGAGTTAATGTGTAATTAGGGCCATATGGCATTTTAAATTCCAACCTTTATTCTCACAGTCTTCGATCTGTGTGGATTTACCTAATGATGCCCAATTAGTCATTAAACAGGACCCAAATACGAGGCTGGTGTGGATTCTCTCTCGCTAATATTTGCTCTCCAAATATTTCCTCTGAAACGTTTACAGCGCATTTTATCTGCTGGGCTGGACAAGGGACATCTGTGAGCTCTTTTACGCCTCCGTATTTTCTCTAAATAATAAAAAAAAAACCAATTGTTCCACACTCGCCCCCCTCCGGCTCTTATTTGCTCATGCTTGAAAGAAAATGTAATAAAAGAGGGCCGGATGATGGATTTATGATTTATCAAAAGCACTTTACCATATGGCAGTCGTCTTTAGAACAGATTTTCAAATGTTTGTTTAAAAAAAAAGAAGAAGAAACTCCATTTGATTAGCCTAGCATGCGCCACGCTTAGCCCTGCTACGTAAGGATGCTCAGGTCACGTGACCGCCTGCACGCCTGTTTGAAGTTCTCAGCACTTTTATTCATTAATTTTATTTTATTTAGTGACCTACACCGACCGGACACTTTATTAAATACACCTCCTTCTTTCTACACTCTTTGTCCGTGTTATGAGTTCCACTTACCATACAGGAGCACTTTGTAGCTCCACAGTTACAGACTGTAGTCCATCTGTTTCTAGGTATACTTGGTTAGCCCCCTTTGCCCTGTTCTTCAGCGGCCAGGACCCCCACAGAGGATCATTCTCAGCACTGCAGTGTCACTGACGTGGTGGTGGTGTGTGAATGTGTGTTGTGCTGGTATGAGCGGATCAGACACAGCAAGCTGCTTGACTTTTTAAACGTTGTGTCCGCTCACTGTCCACTCTATTAGACACTCCTACCTTGTTGGTCCACCTTGTAGCTGTAAAGTCAGGGACAGTAAATCATTTGTTGCTGCACAGTTTGTGCTGGTCTTCCTCTAGTCCTTCATCAGTGGTCACAGGACGCTGTTGGGTGGATATTTTTGGTTGGTGGACTGTTCTTAGTCCAGCACTGACAGTAGATGTTTAAAGACTCCAGCAGCACTGCTGTGTCTGATCCACTCGTACCAGCACAGCACATGTTCAGAGCTCATCCTGCAACTTCAGGGATACTGTCCAAGGTCTTGTGGTGGCTAAAAAATACAAAATGCACGCCACTGAATGTTGAATAGACAGGTGATGGCCTAGCTGACCAATGCAAAGTATGTACTGTACATAACTGTTCTTTAGCTGTACTTCATTTGCATTTGTTCAAGTTCTGCTGTTTATTGCAAACTCACCCTGAGGCTCAAAAATGAGTTCCTGAGGCACCATCAGCATTTCTGCTGTATTACATACTGGAACAAAACAGACATGTTTATTCATGCCAGTCTGGTGTCCAGCACGGCCTTGTGCAACAGCCTTGTGCACCAACAAGGTTGCTGCCAGTAACAGTGCAAAGGAACATTTCAAGTAAGAGCCCATTAGTCACAATGCTGTGAGAGCCTTTTATTGTTATCTCCAGAGTTTACTTGGTTTTATTTGCCCAGATTTACCCGTACTTATTCGGGTATACTCAAGTTTCCAACTCATGTACAGTAAAACATAATAGTGAATAAGGGAAAAATATGTTCTTATTGATTGAATTGAATGATCAGATGATGAACTTGAAGCCAGAGCTTTTATTTCTGGCGAATATGTTCAGATTAAACCATCATTTCAAGACAAATTGATTCATCCTGCTGCTTCTATCATCATTTACATCCCCAGTGAAGCCTGTTATATATCAGTCATGCAGGAACAACCCTTGACTCTCTCTCACTTAGGATCATTTACTGTCCCATGCTTTCTCTGTGCTTTCCCTTTTCAGTACATTTAAAAAGGGATATCTTCATCCTCTCTCTGTTCTGTCTGTTCTGCATTGTAACTGTATTTCTCTTCTCAAAGTCTTTTGTGAATGGTGAACTGTGAAATTTTTACTCCTGCGCTCCACAGAGAGTCTGATTTATTTGGCTGGTACTTTGGGCCTTTCCTTCACAGCTGTAATTGTTTGTTTGTTATCATTAGCTGTTCCAACATGGTTTAACCTAGCCTTCAAAAAGATGGCTCTTCAAGGGTTCTTTAGTAAAGGCAATGGTTTAGAACCATTTCATGTTTAAATGGTTCTGAAATGGTTCTTCAGGTTGATGGAGAATGTGTTATATATGGTTCTATATAGCCCTTTTTTTGGAACATGTTTCCCTTGTTTGTGCTGTTTAGAAGCATGTATACCACATTGTCCATCAATCTGGCAAACCATTTCACCATGCAAAGAACCATTTAAGCATGGAATGGTTCTAAATAGATTCATTGCCTTTACTAAAGAACCCTTGAGGAACCATATTTTATAAGTGTGTATGAAAGACACTATCTAATAATAAAAGCTGACCATTCTATACTTTGGCCTCATATTTTTCATTTTATTTAAAAGGCAAATTTCAGGATTATACAAAATTTTGAAGTGAATAATGTATTTAAAGTCACTGTTGTGTGAACATTATCATGCTGACGCTTTACTTGTTTGAAAAACATAAAACAATTACCGAAGGGCGCGTGTATCTCATTCACACTGTGCTGTGTGGATCCTTTATTTCTATTCACTGATTTACTTCACTGTAACCTAACCAGAGTGACAGTATCTCATTTAATCGCACTTGTTAGGTGAACTCGCTCATCCGTTATTTGTGCTTTATAGTAGCGGCTTCCCTCTCAGCCAATCCGCGCGTACTACGTCACAGCCATGAGCGCGCACCGCTGTATTTGAGGAGTCGCGCGCACAGAGCCGCATTGACTGGAAGAACACAGGAAACGTCGTCGAGTAAGTTAATTACTTATTATCTATTTCATAACAACACAAAGTCGATGTTTTCTGTTCTTGATAAACAAATGAGTGTAGAGAGTTTGGGGGAAAACAGTGTTTCGTTCCATACAGGAAACTCGTTCCACCTGACAGGCCTGCGGGGATGTGCGGCACTGCTGCTGGTCTGACACACGAAGGTCAGCACTGCGTTCATTACTCTAAGCTGAATATCAGTGGCGTTCAGAGAGAACGTGTTAAACATGTTACAACAGTGACATCACTGACGAAGTCACAGCGTTGTTGTGAAATTATCCATTTCAACCATTTTTATCCAGTTGTTGCAGAAAAGATGCTCTACAGGTGCACTCAGAAGTGTTGAATCAAGTAGTTTCTAAGATATTTGACGGAGTGATATGTTCTTAACAAATTTAAGTAAATCACACTAAAATGTTGGGAGTAAAATAACTGGACTGAGTATTTTTATGTATTACCCAAAAATGAAGTGTTGAATTTACTTAAAATGTTACATCAAGTGGTTCCATGCAACTGACTTAAGTAGCTTTTAAGATGCTCAGATGAGTAATATAGACTCAACTTAATATGCTTATGTTTTACTCGTAATTCAAGTAGGAAAAGAACAAAGTTAACAGGTGTAAGCTAGAATGTAATTTCATAAGGTTGTTACTGTGCTACTGAGCTGTCAGGATAGAATACATGATAACTTGCTCTTACATCCAACAGCAATGCGGCTAGGCAGTTACGTGTGAGACATATGCACATACAATGGAAGGTAGGCCGGGGGAAAGACAACACGAAGAGAGTGAGTAAAACATGTAAAAGAATATGCAAATAGATGATGCCATTGGAAAAGAGAGTTTTACTAAACAAGATTGCTTTGACCAAACAACACTTCTAACGTAATTCTGACAACACACTATATTTCATTGGAACAACAGGACTGACTCACTGTTTCACTGACTTACATGGATTTGTAACATCGGTGAGAGAAAACAGATTAAAACCAATATAGTGATTTTTTTTGAGTGTGTGCGTATGTGTGTGTATATACGGTACTATGCAAAAATGCATAAGTTTTCTGAGAAATACATTTGAGGAAAGGACATATAAAGCTTTTCATCAAGGCTCAGTTTCCCAACAGCATATTAGAGTTAAGATCATCTTAACTGGTAGAGAGAGTGCATCAGTGACATGCTGATGCTTTCAGAAAACCCAGCTCAGGGCAGTAAGTGTTTATTTGTTAAAAACAGTAATATTAGAATAAATACAGTTTTAAAAATTGCATTAGGATTTATTTTGGTGTGTTAGCTTAACCATTTCCAAAGCTCTCCTTGAGGAAGTCCAGTATTTACAGTTAACCGTCATTCAATACCTGCTACAGCTAATCAGTCATTCATTTAATGAAATCACGTGCTGCTGGTGGAATTTAACAAATCCATGCAATAGTTGGAGTGCAGCAATAAGTCAGGAACCAAACGTGTGTTCTTCTAACATACACTGTAAAAGTGGCTGTCAGATCAACCTCAAAAATTACTTCATATGATAACTAGGATCTGAACTAGTTTTATTCAATTAAAAAAATCACATTGATTGAAAGAATCATTTATTTACAGTATTTGTTTAGGTTGAATAAAACTACTTAAACATGAAGTAATTTTTTAAGCTTGATATGATGAGCCATTTTTACAGTGTATCAATAACTTAAAAACTTACTAGTTTTACTTAAACATCAAAACAAAACAATCTTGTTACATATTTGTTTGAATAGTGTTCATTCTAATGGAGTATAAGGCTCCTTGAGGAAGAGTCTTGTTCACATCAGCTGAAATTGGAATTAATAAGATATTTACAGTACTGTACAGAAGTGCAAAAAATCTGAGGAAATTATTTTCAAAAAGCTGCTTATCTGAGAGGTACGCATTTATTTGCTCAGAAAAACACTACTATTACAATCAATACAAATGATATTTTTATATTAAGCGGTGATTTTATGTATGTCACTGTGTTCACATAACCATTTCCAAACCTCTCCTCGTGGAAGCCCAGTATGATGAGTAGTTATCATCCAGTACCTGGTTGGGGTAATCAACCCTTTATTAATTTATACAAAGAGTGGTGGTGGTGGATTTGAACAAATCTTTGTGATGGCTGGGGGTATCAGAGAGAAGTCTGGAACCTAAGCTTTGTTCTTGAACTAGTTCCCAATAATATCAACTTTTTTTTTTTTTTAAAACGAGAATTTTTTTAAATTTTTTTAACTTTTTTATTGCGTTCATATTTCTTTGAATTTATTCTAATAGTACGTGTTGCTTTTACAAGAAAAAATACAAATGTTGCCAAAATAAATGGCTTTAACAGTTTGCTTGGGTGCCTAAGACTTCTGCACAGTATCATATATCTTATTTGTTCCAATTTCAACCAAAGAAAATCTGTAATAAGAACATAATTTTTTTTTTATAAAAGTGGTTAGTGGGAACTTGCCTATGGCCTATCACATGCACATCCCATTTTACCATATAACTGACTGTCCATTCTTACTTCATATCTCATAATACCTGAACCAGTTCTACATTTTACACCAAATGTTTTTTTTCTTTTCTTGAGTAAGGCAGCTTGAATCAGCTCGGAGGGAGGTTTCTGAATGGACGCCCTCTGCCTGCGCACACAAGGAGGATGATGATTACTCTCGCGTCAGAGGGCATGCGCCCGTGCCACATCTCCAGAATCCTGAAGGTAGGAGTAGTGTTCACAGAGAACAATTACTTCATGCTTATGCAACCATCATTAGTTTAATGCTGAAACAGTGAACACAATGCAATGTGCAGGTGTCCAGTGGCTGCGTTAGCAAGATACTGCACTGGTACCGGCGCACTGGCCTCATGGGCCCCAAAGCGATAGGAGGCAGCAGACCACGGCTTCTCACGCCTCACGTTATCTCTACCATAGCCTGCTACAAACGCACCAGCCCATCGTTGTTTGCCTGGGAAATCCGTGAGAAGCTCTCAGCCGAGCGTGTTTGTAGTGCTGATAAAGTTCCTAGCGTGAGTCACATGCTGTTGTAATAAGTTTCTATGCGACTGATAAATTATGTATTTACTGACTCTTTTGGTGTTCACATGGGTCTGTATAGACTTAAATGAACTTAAATGAATAATTAAACACTAGTCATTTTACTGTGTGGTGATGAGAGAAATTGTTTAACAAAGAGCCAAACCTGTGATTACACCTCTTTATTAGCCTAAATGAATGAAGTCATGGATATCTGAGCTCCTTCTACTCTTGTAGGTATCTTCTATTAACCGCATTCTAAAGAAGCTTCAGCATAATCAGGACATGGAAAAATACACATGTGAAGGTAATACAATTAAGACAATCATCAAATCACAGGTAATTAAGGTGTATTGATATCTGTTTCTGTGTTACTTAATGAATGATTGAATGTATCTATTAATCAATGAGTGAATTATTGTCTTCCATGCAGGGATAATTTGTGATAAAATGGATGAGAAAAGGCAGAATTCATTCGCTCCGGGTGAAATGAATCAACAGCCAAATTCCAGCTACCTGCAAAGCACTCAGCAACGCAACAGGACACATTTCAGCCTAGAACAATGTGAAATGTTAGAGAAAGGTGCCAGACTTTTTTTCTTTTTTTTTTTTTTTACAGATGTTTTGTTTTTAGATTTCTCACAAAGTCTATGAGAGGTGCTCAACCTCGATAAACATTTCTTAATATTTAGTTAAAACCAGTTTATTTCCTTTCCTCTTTTCAAAATGAATAATTTTATTACATTTTCAATCCTTTCTTTGGCCAGAGTTTCTCCAAGGACATTATCCAGACTTGTTTGCAAGAGAAAAACTGTCTACAGACACCAATTTATCACAGGACACCATAAAGGTGATTTACCATAATAGCTACAATCCAGGTTTCTAGGTTTAGAATAAAATGCATCCAAAACCATCCAAAAACTCAGAGGAAGGCTCTACATTAATATGTTTACATTCACATTAAGCTGTACTTTACAGACAACATGATTCACCAGTATTTTGAAGACATGAATGGTTTGTGTCCAAGTTCTTTTGACTATCCACAGTCCACAGTCTAAACATAACACAAACATAACTTTTAAACTTTACGTTTAAATGCACTGTGAACACCCTTTTCATTTCTGTATCTGTATCTGTGATACTAGCTTGCTTCTGATGTCGTACTTGGTCACATGGCTTGTTGGGAGAAAAGTCATTGTGAGAAATCAGCACAGTGACCCTCACTACTGAGGAAAAAACATTTTTTTCTAACTCATGGACTACTTTGTGTTACTTGATCACTTGATGTCACCATTTAACGTTGTATCATTAATAATTAGGTAATCAAGTAAACTAAGAACATGTTTTATTAGTAAATGAAAAGCCAGCCATTAGCAAATAAAACTGCAGCTTTTCGCTATACATTTTGGGCACTAAATAACCTTATTGTAATGTGTAAAGTGTTTTCACTGATTTAACGAATGACTTATATGATTCTGTAAATCTTACATTTGTGAGATTGAAGGTTTAAATTCTGCATCTGCTCTTCATCCTGAAGGTGTGGTTTTCGAACAGACGTGCAAAGATGAGACGGGAGATGAAAGCAGGAGAGAGCTGCTGGCCATCACATGGTAGGGTCTACTCCCTTTAAGTTCTCCTTATTTTGAAGCTGTTCCAGATTCATTCTCAAAAAATGTCATTCAGTGATTTTAGAGGAGGCATTGAGATGCAAAACAGGATGTATCACAGTTCTGCATCTTCTAAAATCGCCATAAATAGTATGGTACCTTTTATGTTGCACAAAAGAAGTGCTTCAAATTTGTGATGGAAAGATGATCTTATGAAGGGGACTCATAATATACCACCTGGAGGTTTCTTTTGATGTCAAGAAGCAGTTCCAGTCTTACAGTCTTATCCAGTTTATCAGTTTAAGGCCAGTTTACTTAGTTTGTGGTCAGATTTTCAATGTCAGGCCAAGTTACTTCTTTAACTGCTTACAAACACAACAGACCTACAGTATGGAAACAAATGTGTTTAGTCACACTTTTACAAATAAAAACATACTTCCCTAGACTTACAACCCACAGACTAATGTGATACTGTTATTTACTAGAGATGAAGTAATTAGACTCTTTCACAGGTTTAGCACATCCTCATTCTCTGGGATGCACAACTGTTCCCTTCTCTCCGTCAGTGAACTGGCTCCGTGAGAGAACAGCATTGCCAGGGACCAGTCAGATGGATAGCAGAAGCTCACTGGCTGCTTTTCCAGTGGTCCAGAATACTGAAACAACCACACTCTCACTGGCTCATTGCAGCTCAAATATGAGAGCAGGCTTCCCATCGGATCATCACTTGAATGAAGCAAACATGCTACGCTCTCACCACAGACAGGAGGAAAGCGCATACAGCCCGTCACATTTCACTCAATGGGCCGCTCGTCCTTCATTTACTGGGCAGTATCTTTGACTGTGAGGAATTCAAGAGGACAGAAGACATATTTATAGAGGCATGTTGTGAGTTATAGAGACATCTGAAGCTGAGTTGCCGTGTCTTTGAAACTTTCCCAGGATATGATTTCTGTTTTTTAACAGCAGGGGGCAGCAAAGCAGAAAAAAAGACATCATAGGTACATATCAAACTGAAAGTTTGTTCATTATTTGGTTTTTCAAGCTTTTTCAGTCTTTCACGTTTTTTTCTGGAAAACAGTACTTGAATAAGGGAGCAACCAAATGTAAATTACTGTACCAACCAAATAAACCTCATTACATTTTATTGTAATGGCAAAGAAGTCATTAAACTCATGAAAATGTCCAAATGTCCTCATGCCCAAAGTACTTGATATTCACTTGACTTGTTAATAAACAGTTACTGTCACAATCATCAGCCACTTTGCACTGTGCGCAATACTCCAAATGTGGACAGAAGATTATTGCTGAAACCTGGAACCGTGGTCTAACATAAATTCAGTTTCATTCCCTCAGTCCTGGTGTGAACCAATACGTAATTCATAACTTCATGATGCTTATATTTATGTTAGAACTGCCATTTGAGGACCACCGAAAGACAAAAGATATCTTGTATAACAGGAACAAAATAAACCTAAGATTTCTGAAAGGCCTTCAGAAAATACTTCTAATCTTTTTACTACATCTGGAAAGCCAAAAGGAGCCTTGGACCAATGTGGCTCAGTCCCAACTATTCCACATGATGGCAGATCTGTTGTTTTTGAAGAATGTTTCCCTGTAGAAATTTTTCAAAATGTGCGTAGCAGCATTCCAAGAAGGACTGAAGTGCCTCTAAATACAAACAGCAGCAGCCTGGCTCCCTCTCACTGAAATATCCATAAACCGTACTGCCTGGAGTTTCCATTTTCTGTTATTTTAGCCTCTGTGTTTTATTCATTGCAACAGTACACCTCTCTCTCTCTCTCTCTCTCTCTCTCTCTCTCGGTCTCTCTCTCTATCTCTCTGGACTGAGATATCAGCTCTGTCAGTGAAGGTTCATCTAGTAAGAAATCTCTCCTGTAGACTTTGGCTAGTACTTACATATTTCTGCACCATAACCGAACAAGATCAACACTTGGACATGAACCAGGATGCTCAAAATTATATGAGGGAGGCACAGCTGCTCTGTCTAACGTTAACCTTTATAGGGGTCAACCCTACAAGCTTATTCCTAATATAAATCCCATTAATCAAACGAGCGAATGAAGAAATATAAGGATGTTGCCGAATGTTTCTCTTGAGTGTTTTTTTGCTCTTTGCTTGTCTTGTTTAAATCACTTACAATAAAGTCTTTGAGAAAATGAGAAAACACATCAGTAAACTGCAATAAAATCAACAAACAGGGAGTATATATTGTTTTTGAGGGGATCAAAGAGGGAAGTGTAATCTCCAGTTTTATAAGGATCTCAGGAGGATTGGTCAGGCTAGGCTTTGTGACAGGCCAATGCAATATATTTTTAACATTTAAAACAGGCCAGTCTTCATCAGCCCTGGGTTTTTTCACAGCTTGTCAAATGTGGCAGAAATAGCACTCTGGCATTTCCTTCACTCCAACTGTTTGTCTCTGCAAAATGAATGAGCTAAGACAGAATGCATTATCAGCCAAACAGTTCGATATATTTACATATGCAGGAAACGGTGCCATAAAATAGAACCATTTCTTTTGCAAGGAGTCTTCATATTCAGGAGTTTAAGCCTCTGACCTTGAATTCTAATCCATGATGAATCAAATGTGCTGGCAGCTTCGGTTTATTTGAAGCCACTCTGTAAAAACAGATTTATATTTCCAGGTCACTCTTCAATTGGGTGAACCCTGATCTCTGTCCAGGAAATGAATTAGGTGCCAAGAGGCAACAGGAAACTGAAAATAGGGCTTAGGCAGACGGACATGTTCACTTTACAATGGGAAACACCGTCTATAAACCAAGAAGTAGGCATGCATGTGTACACAGACGTCTGCAAGTATATACAATACTGTGCAAAAGTCAGAGACCACCCTTTTATTTAAGAAAGACTTTCTTTTTTTGAGTACCTGGAAAAAAGAAGATACATTTAACAGACAATGTAATGTTTCCACTTTTTACCTTTATTACAGCTCCATTTTTTCAGGAGACTTGCTTTGAGTGTTTTAAAGAAATATGCAGGGATATTTTTCCACACCTCCAAAGTTCAGTCTTAGAAGTTGGTTGCATTTTCATGTATCTCATGATCCAAGTAATCCCAAACACATTCAGTGATGTTGAGGTCTGGACTCTAGGGTGGTCAGTCCATTGTTCTGAGAACACCAGCAGCTTCTTTGTTTGATTGAAGTTTTTTTCGCTTGTTTTGATTGATTGATTTTGACTGGAAATCAAATAAATGAAGGGTGGTTTCTGACTTTTACTATATATACAATGTACCTATGTTATCTTGGCATAACTACATTTTTTAATAATTGAAAGCAATGCCTGGCTTTTACATTGGGTGAACATTTCATGTTGATTTGAATGGTTCAAAATCACATGGAATAAATTCTTTCTACATTAAAATACGTTAGAGAACATTAAAGAATGTTTAAAGCAGGTAAATACAGGACAGAGGTGTTTCATCCTCATTTCTTTGCTTATGCAGTTAGTACAGTACTTAGCCTGGCTGCACAACTGTTTTTTGTCAATACCAAGTAGTACAATACCAGAGTGTTACCTTCAGTGTACTATTCTGTACAGACACAAACATATTTCCATAACTGAATTCATTTTCTCACTGACCTCTGCTGTTCTCTGTTCTCATGCCTGCAAAAAGCCATGTGAGGAGTAGAGAGGGTTATGTGCTCCTCCACTATTATCATCTCTTCTCCCACTTATCAGTCTTATGGTCTTACCTATCAACAGCAGGTCTAAAGAATTACTTAAGCTTCACTAACACACTGTCAGAAAAAAAGGTACTTCAGGTAAACTTTAGCCCCACAACTTATAAACAATGTAAATCTACCCTCAAATGTACAATATGATCCTTAAGGTCCAACTAGGTTGCTTAAATGAGTTTTAAAGGTACACTATCGTTTGCTTTCCTTGATGAAGTGGTGTATTTTGCCATGTATTTTTCAAAACAACTATAGAGAGAGTAGAGAAAAAATAAAAAGCCTGGAGAAATATAATTACAGTGGTATATGGAACAATTACACCGATCAGGCATAACATTATGACCACCTCCTTGTTTCTATACTCATTGTCCATTTTATCAGCTCCACTTACTATATAGGTGCACTTTGTAGTTCTACAATTACAGACTGTAGTCCATCTGTTTCTCTGCATACTTTGTTAGCCCCCTTTTGCCCTGTTCTTCAGTGGTCAGGACCCCCATGGACCCTCACAGAGCAGGTACTGTTTGGGTGGTGGATCATTCTCAGCACTGCAGTAACACTGACGTGGTGGTGGTGTGTTAGTGTGTGTTGTGCTGGTCTGAGTGGATCAGACACAGCAGTGCTGCTGGAGTTTTTAAACACCTCAGTATCACTGCTGGACTGAGAACAGTCTACCAACCAAAAATATCCAGCCAACAGCGTCCTGTGACCACTGATGAAGGACTTGAGGATGACCAACACAAACTGTGCAGCAGTAGATGAGCTACTGTCTCTGACTTTACATCTACAAGGTGGACTGACAAGGTAGGAGAGTCTAATAGAGTGGACAGTGAGTGGACACAGTGTTTAAAAACTCCAGCAGCACTGCTGTGTCTGATCCACTCAGACCAGCACAACACACACTAACACACCACCACCACGTCAGTGTTACTGCAGTGCTGAGAATGATCCACCACCCAAATAGTACCTGCTCTGTGAGGGTCCATGGGGGTCCTGACCACTGAAGAACAGGATAAAAGGGGGCTAACAAAGTATGCAGAGAAACAGATGGACTACAGTCTGCTAACTACTAAGTGCACCTATATTGTAAGTGGAGCTGATAAAATGGACAATGAGTATAGAAACAATAATGTTATAACAAATGTTATAAACATAATGTTATGCCTGATCAGTGTATGTTCCCTAAGTAAAGGTGCTGAAGACGTACCCTTGAGGGTACACACTAAGAGCATTTGTACCCTGAAACATAGTTTTTTTTCAGTGCACTATTGCTTAATTGTTGACAAAATACTGTCTGAGCCATAGGAAATGAGAGTGAGAGGGCAGGAAATAAACATGTTCTTGACCAACTGGTGAATCAAACAATTGACACTATTGAAATATCTATTATAAACAACTTTAATTTAATACAAAATTCAATATTACAAATGCTCTTAACATACTGTCTGACAAATTATTTACAAAAAAGCCAGCAAACTCTTAGTCACTGAAGTCATCCATTTAAAATAAATAAAAAATAAAAATAATAACATAACATGATGTAGTGGGACGTCAGCCTAATGTAGCAGCTCAAAAAGTGAAGGACAAAATGTAGAAAAGGAAAGTGAGTACAACACTGAAACAATGTAGGAATATTTGGAATGCACAGTTTATGTACAATAATATTTACATAATGATACATTTGCATTCATTTAACTCATAAAATGGCCATGAACAATAAAATAAATATGGTATGTTTTGTGTCTGAGAAAACCTGTAAAACTGTTTGTGACTTGCCTTAGAGCCCCAGTTTATTTCAGGACTTTCTGCAATCAGAGGTATGGAACTCAAGCCATATTAGCTCATGTACTAACTATAGCCTCTGTTTAGGTTGAAATATTTATGGTTTATAGACCTGTAGGGAGCCATCTTTGAGTCAGAATATTTTATTATGGTGCATAAACAAATGATGTGCTTATGAAACATATATTATCCCTTTGTTCCTCTAATAAAGGCACGTCTTTAAAGTTCATGCCAAAATTAACACTAACACTTTTGTAACATAATATTGCTGGAAAAATCTTCCTCCATGTTATTATAAATAAATAACCTTAAATTTAGACATAACACACCGTGAGAATGGACAGACCTTCACATATTTGTAAGCTAGCCAGATCTATAAGACCTATAGAGTACCAGCAATATACTCACAAGAGCAAAAATTAAACCAAACTTAGTAAATGCACAGCCCCAAAAAGGGCCATTGTATGCTCCATACTGGAGTAAGGCAAGCTATGTAACACTCTCTATTACTGAACACACTTCAAATGTACAGCGTCAGCTCAAACATACAACTAAGGCAGTTATTTTTTTGTAAACAAAGTCAGAGTGGTTTGATGTGAAATGGTTCAGAGAAATTTACCGACTCAGATTTCTTTACAGTGGTGTTGACAGGAGGAGTTGCAATGACTACAGCGCAGATACAGACATTTTATTT